CCCCGCGAGCGTGTGGTGGCTCGCCGCGACGGAGTGGGGCCGCGCCGCGGAGACGGGGCTGAAGGCCGACGCGAAGGAGCCCAGGTCGCTCACGGCGTCCCAGTGCGGCGGCGTCCGCGCGCGGCCCGGCGGCGCCGCCTGGCTCGTGCCCGGCCGCGAGCCCGCGCGCGACCCGGCCCGGCTGTGGAAGGGGTCGACCGTCGACGGCCGGCTCCAGTCGATGGACGCGTTGCCCACGCTGAACAGCGAGTCCACGAAGGACACGCCCGACGCGACGGACGCGCCGTCGGCCTCGGCGTCGTCCTTGTCCGCGAACGTGTTCCCCCCCTCGACCCGCAGGAGCTGGGCCGGCGTCATGTGCTTGTGGCGCTGGACGGCGGCGGCGCGCTGCTTCGCCTCGCCGATCATCGTCGCCAGGCCCCGCTGGTGGACCTTGATCTCCGTCTTCCGGAAGTCGCGGAGCCCGGGAGACTTTTCCGCGCGGAGCTCCGAGAACCGGAGGCCCGCGGACGACGCGCGCTGGTCGATGGCGCAGGGCGCCTTCAGCGAACTCCGGGCCGGCCCGCCGTGGCGCACGGCGCTGCGCCCGGCGTTGGCCAGCGTCGCCTCCTCGAAGCGCTTCGCCGCCTGCCGCGCCGCGTCGGCGAGCTCCGGCGACCCGAGGCGCCCGTCGGGCGCGGGCCGGTCCGTCGCCGTCGCGAACTTGGGCGAGAAGCGGTAGTCCGGCAGCTCCATGGACCCATGGGAGGGCGAATTGGTCCGGCGCATGCTGGCTCTCTAGGGGCTGCGCATTGCGAGAGCTTGGCGTTGGTTACGATGCAAGGTTATGCTTGCACGGCATCGTTGGCATTTGTCACGGGCACGCCATACCGAAGCCCGACCCCTAGGCTAGCTACATTACCCCTCACAAGCACCGCGCCGGCACGACGACGGTGAAGCGCGTCGGCCCCGCGGCCGGGGCCCCCGGCGGCCGGCGGAAGGCGAGCGTGAGCCCGCCGCGGTGCGAGCCCGCCGTCGCGCGGCGCCGCGGCTTGCCCGGCGCGTCGCTCCGGGCCACGGCGGCGCGCGCGTCGAAGAGGGCCAGCGGCGGCACCTGGAGCGGCGCCATGAGCGGCAGCTGGGCCTTGGCCGGGTCCGTCGCGCGGAGCCGCGGCGGCAGCGGCCGCCCGCGCGCGGTCGTCTTCGCGTTCGACGGCCGGTAGCGCAACAGCTGCCCCAGCGACGGCCCCGGGGCCGCGACGGGCCGCGCGCCCGCCGCGGCCCCCTCGGGCGCCGCCGCCGCCGCCGCCGCGGGCGCGCCGGCGGCGAGGTCGACCATGGCGAGCGCGACGGCCGGCGGAGTGACCGTCGACGCGTCGTCGAGGGCCACATCCACCAGCGACGGCGGCGCGTCGTCGGGCGCGGCGCGCGCCGCGGCGACCCAGCGCGGCGCCATGTCGAGGTGGAAGCCGCGCCAGCGCACGCGCCGCCGCGCGCGGCCGCCGCGCGCGGGCGCGGCCGCGGCCGCGTCGCCGAGCCCCGCGCGGCGGATGCGCCACTCGTCCGCGTCGGCCGTGCGGTCGTCCCAGTCCGGGCCCCGCGCGATGGGCGACCCCTTCTCCGCGGGCCGCCGGCTCCGCAGCGCGTCCTCGCGCGGGCTCCCCCAATCGTCCCAGTCGTCGGCCGCGTCCGGAGCCGGCGGCCGCTTCCGAGCGTTATTCTGCGTGACGTCGCCGGCCCGCTTCGCCTCGTCGCGGGCGGCGCGCGCGCGCTGGGCCGGCGACCGGTTCGCCTCCTTCAAAGATCGCAGCGACGCCTCCGCCGCGGCGCTTTTGACCGACGCGTCGTCGTCGACGACGGACGTGTCGCCGAGCGCGTCGAAGCGCGGCAGCTCGACCCGCTCGCCGCCGGCCTCGAGCGTGCGCGCCTCGCGGTCGAGGGGCTCGCCCGGCGGCGGCGTGCCCCGCCGCGACACGGAGACGACGGGCGGCGACGCGACGCGGACGCGCACGGGCGCGTCCGGCGACCGCGCGGGCGCCGCCTCGGGCGTCCGAGCGGGCGACGGCTCCGGCGACGGCTCCGGCGACGGCTCCGGCGACGGCTCGTCCTCGCTGGCCTCCTCGGAGCCGCTGCTGCTCTCCTCGTCGGAGCCGCGGTCGGAGCCGGACCCGCTCCGGCTCTCGTCGACGTCGATCAGGTCGTCGTGGTCCTCGAGGTCCGTCGCGATGCGCAGCGCGTCGAGGCGCGTCACCTGGGCCATGGGCGCGTAGCAGCGGCGGCCGGACCCGTCGGCGACCGTCGTCGCGCGGAGCAGGTCCTCCGCGATCGCGCACCGCGCCGCGTGGCCGCCGCGGCACCACGCGGCCAGGTTGCCCCGCGTCGCGGCCACAAAGTCGACGCGGCTCAAGGACTGCTGCTCGATGACGAACCAGGGCAGGTCCGCGTTCGACGCCGCGTCGAAGAGCTCGTCGTCGAAGAGGCAGCGGAAGCAGCGAAGTTCGAAGGCCGCGTACGCGCGCGTCGCGATCGCCGGCGGCTCGAAGGCCCCGCCGAGCGCCGACCGCCAGTCGGGCCCGAGCACTTTCGCGTCGATGCCGTGGAAGGCGAGCCAGAGCGCGTCGAGCGCGTCGGCGAGCACGGGCGGCGGCGGGCCGCGGCGCCGTCGCGGCGGCGCGCGCTTCCGCGCGGACTCGCGGCTCCGGTCTAGAATGGACCGCCGCGCCGGCGCCGCCGCGGCGCGCTTCGAGGATGATTTCGGCGGCGGCGTCGGGATGACGACGAGCTCGAGGAGCGCGAGCGACGTGCGCCGCCGCGTCGGCACGCCCTGGACGTTGAGCGTCTGGCTCGCGCGGCGGTGCCTGGGCAGGACAAGAGAGATTCAACGTCGCTTCAACGTGAGTGTTTCTCGCGCGCGCGTTCCAGAAAACGCATCCACGCTTCGAGATCGTTCCGAGAGATGATCGCTCGTCCAAAAATCAGCCGAAACGAGTAGAAAACGGCTGAGAGAGGAGCCTTTGAAGTTGGGAATTTCGCTCTCTTGTCCTGCCCTGGGCGGTGCATGTCGGAGATGGACATGCGCCGCCGCGGCGCGCCGGACTGGGTCGAGTCGTCGTCGACGTAGTCGCGCTGCGCCTGCTTGATCACGTCCATGGCGTCGCCCAGCGTCGCGACGCCGCGATGGGGCTCCGCGGCGTGGACGGACGCGATGCGGTCGAGGGGCCGGTAGGCGCCGTCCTCGACGATGCGGTCGTAGAGCTTGGAGAGGAAGGAGATGTACTCCTCGATCTCCGCGCTCTCCGTCCAGATGTCCACCGTCTCGAAGAGCGTGTCGCGGAACTTGACGCGCGAGACCGTCTCCGCGTCGCCGACGTCCTTGTCCATGTCGTCCGCGACGACCTCGCGGCAGCTCTCGACCTCGAAGTCGTCGGGGTCGAAGAGGGCCTTGCAGAGGATGATGTTAAAGTCGAAGAGCTGCGACCGCGAGATATTTTCGTCGGTCGTCGCGAAGGTGTCGAAGTAGCGGTCGAGCCAGCGGATGACCTCCGGGTGGGACCGGTTCTTGCGCCGCAGCGCCAGGGCGTCGGACCGGTACATGGTCATGTCGCCGTCGCGCTGGTAGTCGAGCGTCGACCGCTTCTTCTTCTCCTCGGCCGCCGACGCCGCGCCGTCGCGCCGCGGCTTCGCGCCGCGGAAGCCGCCGCCGCTCCGTCCCGAGCCGCCGGAGCCGCCGGAGCCGCGGCTCCGCTCGGAGCCCCGCGACGACAGGCGCCGCTTCTGGCGGCTCGACGACGGCGAGTCGCCCTTGATCGGCGACTGGGACCGCTCCCAGGGGCTCGGGCTCCCCTGCCGCTCCGTGCGGAACGACTCGGCTTTGAGGCCCACCTTGGCCAGCAAGTCGTCGGCGCCCTCGAGGCCGTCGAGGCCCAGGCCCAGCACGTCGTGGAGCAGGTCCGCCGCCATCGTCGGCCTGCGTGCGCGACTGTCCGGCTAGGCGGGCTGGCTCATCATCGGCGGTTTCGGCAGAGCACTCGGCAGAGCGCGGCAAAGGAGCCTGCAAGGTGTCGAGGTGCAGCTCACGAGCTCTCTGCGTGCCAAGACCGATAGCGCGCCAAACTCATCGTCGCCGGCAAACTTCATCCATATCACTCTCGACGCCTCTCACCCATCACCCGTTCGAACCATGGCCGTGACTTTTGGAGTGGAGATTGCCGAAGCGCGACAACAGCAGACGCGCTCGGAGATCGCGAACATCCTGCAGTGCCGGCGCTCCAAGATGCCACTCGTCGCGGCGGTGGCGAACGGCGACGTCGGCCAGGTCGCGGCGTTGCTCGCCGGCGGCGCCAACCCCAACGAGGTCGACGATTGGGTCGACGCGGTCGGGGTCGCGGTCATGACCAAGCGCGTCGACGTGCTCCTGCTCCTCGTGAAAGCGGGCGCGAAGCCGCACGGCGCCGGCGGCGACACGGAGGACGACGTCTTCCTCGCGGCGCTCGGCGGCAGCGCCGACGTGCTCAACGTGCTGCTCGCGGCGCCGGGCGCGTCGGTGTCGGGCCCCCGGGCCCAGTACGTCTTCGCCGCGGCGCAGTTTGGCTACGCGGATCAGTGTCGATTCCAAATATTTTCGTGAGATAACCCGAGATCCGTTGAATCAAAAAGTTTGCACTTGAAGTGCAATGTTGAAGTTCAATTACCACGTTTCCCCGATCTCTTTGCCCCCCAAACACCTCCAAATCGCCTTTTTTCGACATATAACGAGCTTATGTTGACATGATTTGATATAGGCGACCAATTTTGCCGAGGTTCGACGACCACGGCCTTCCCTAGGCGTACTGGCGGCCCAGGATAGCTCCCTAGCCGTACTCCGGCCGGCCAAGATAGTTAGTTACTTAATTCCTATGGGGGCCCCTGGCCCTATGTGTGGAATCGACACTGACGCGGATGCGCTCGCCGCGCTTATCGCGGCCGGCGCCGATCCGAGCGCGGTCCCCCTCGACAACAAGGGCACGACGCCCGTCTCCGTGGCCGCGCGGCACGGCGACGCGGCGACGCTCAAGGTCCTCGTCGACGCGGGCGCGGACGTTGAGAAATCGAACATCTCCGGCTCGTCGCCGCTCTACCTCGCCGCTCAGGAGGGCCACGCCGAGGCCATCGAGCTCCTCGTCGCCGCCGGCGCCGACGTCGACACGCCGCGGGACTCGGGCGCGACCCCCTGCTTCATCGCCTGCGTCGACGGCCACGTCGACGCGCTCAACGCGCTCATCAAGGCCGGCTGCGACGTGCACGCGAAGGTGCCCACCAGAGCGGCGGGCGTGCACCAGACGGCCGCGGACGTCGCCGCGCAGAACGGCCACCAGGCCTGCCTCACCGCGCTCCTCGCCGCGGGCGCCGCGCCGCCCGCGGACTGGGACTGCGACCCTGACGAGGACACGGTCAGCTTCATGTGCTCCAAGGGCGCCTCGCTCGTCATCAAGACCAAGAACGGCACCGGCAGCGTGCGCCCCCTGCAGCTCGATCTCTAAGTTACGTCCGCGGCGGCGTCGGCGGCTCCTCCGCCATGCGCCGGATGTGGGGCGCGACGAGGTCGCCCGCGAGGAGCGCGGCCTGGACCTCCGGCGCCGCCTTGGAGAAGCCGCCGACGGTCTCGCCCGTGGCCCAGTCGACGAAGGGCTCCGCGAGGGCCCACTCCGTCGTGCGGTAGTCGAAGGAGAGCGCGTCGCCCGCCGCGAGGTCCGCGACGGCGACGACGTCGATCGTTTCGGCGCCGACGCGGACGCCGCAGTTCGGCGTCGAGGAATGGTTGAGCTTGAGCGCCTTGGCCGAGAAGCGGACGTGCTCGGCCTCGCCGACCTGGAGCGTGTCCCAGGCCGGCTCGGACCGCAGGGACCGCGGCGACCGCTTCACGGACACGACGACGGCGCCGGCGGCGACTTTCTCGCGCGCGACGACCTGTTCGACGCGGTCGCCGGACGACGCGGCGGACGACACGGCGGCGTCGATCTTCCAGGTCTCGTCGCCGTTGAGGCGATCGTCGAGGAAGCGGGCGCACTCCGCGAAGAAGTCCGCCGTCGTCCGCGGCGTGTCCAACGCGTGGTCGTCGTCCGGGTAGACGAGCATCTCCGCGTCCTTGCCCCTCCGCTTGAGCGCGCGGTAGTAGTCGATGGCCTGGGACGGCGGCACGCGCCGGTCCCGCATGCCCACGGCCAGGAGGATCGAGCCCGCGACGTCGTCGATTTTGGACGCGGGGCTCGCCGCGAAGAGCCTCGCGAGCGTCGCCGGCGTCGCGGGCGTCTCGACCTCCACCCCCACCTCGACGGCGCACCAGTCGGGGATGTCCGTGACGCCGACCATGGCCGCGACGTTCGTCACGGGGTTCCGCAGGCACGCGCACGTGTACAGATCCGGGCGCTTCGCCATGAGCCACGCGCCGAGGAAGCCGCCGTGGGACCCGCCGACGACGGCGACGGCGCCCCGGTCGAGGCTCGGGTTCTTCTCGAGCTCCGCCTCGGTCGCCGCGACGACGTCGCGCACGTCGAGGTCGCCGACGTTGCCGGGCAGCGCGTTCAGCGCGGCGGCGCCGAAGCCCGTGGACCCGCGGTAGTTCGGCGAGAGCACCGCGTAGCCGCGCGACGCGAGGAACGCCTGAGCCGCGCCGTAGGCGAGCGGCGTGCACGAGTGGGGGCCGCCGTGGACGTAGACGACGAGCGGCCGCGGCTCCGGCGTGGACTCGTCCCAGAGCAAGTTCGCCTCGAAGTTCTCCGGGAAGCGCCGCGCGGCGCAGCGGAGCGACGCGGGCGCCGAGTCGAAGGCGGCCTTGCCGTGGACGACGCCCATGGGCGGCAGCGGCAGGCGGCTCGCGACGGCGCCGGTCTTCGCGTCGACGGCGAGGAGCGCGCCGGCGGCGTCGTCGGGCGCCGACGTCGCGACGACGGCGTAGGCGCCGGCGACGCAGAGGAGCTTGTGCGACCGCTTGAGGACGTCGTCGCCGAGGGGGCTGATCTTGCCCGTCTTCGCGTCGACCTTGAGGCAGCAGGGCGCGCTCCGCCACAGCGAGTTCAGCACGAGCGTCGCGTCGTCGACCCAGCAGTCGCGCGGGAGCGTCGCCGCGCCCCAGATGCCCGGGAAGACGTGGAGGTCCGCGCCGCCCGCGGCGACGGGCACGACGTCGTCCTTTTCGCCGCGGATGCGAAGCGCGACGGGCCCGTCGTGCGTTTTAAAGTCGCCGCCGAGGTAGCAGAACGTCGACCCGTCGGGCCTCCAGCGCGGCGACCGCGCGAGGGGCTCGCTCGTCTGCGCCTCCGCCGCCCAGGCGCCGCCGGACCGCGCGAAGATCGACGACGGCCGGTTGAAGCAGTAGACGAGCCCGAGCTTCGCGGAGTCCTCCTTCCACGCGACCGTGAGCAGCTCGCGGGGCTTCGACGGGTGGAAGGTCGGCTGGCCCTCGCAGGCGTATCCCGGCGGCGGCGCCAGCGCCGCGAGCGCGCCGTCGTCCGTTTGGAGGTCGACGATGAACACGGTCGGTCGCGACACGCCGACGTACTTCTCGCCGAGCTCCTCGCGGTAGGCGAACGCCCCGGCGAAGGCCTCGGCCTTGAGCGCCACGGCGCCGTCGGCGACGAAGGCCACGAGGCTCTCGTCCGCGTTCCAGGAGACGCCGCCGACCATGGCGTCGCCGCACAGGAGCTTGCCGACGGCCGTTTCGTCCAACGGCAGGCGCTGCACGAGCACGCTCTCCTCGTAGATCTCCAAAGCGCCGCCGGCGTCGCGCGTGCGGAAGACGGCGGTCTTGCCGCTCGGGGACCGGGCCTCGCACACGACGTCGCCGGGCAGCTCCGAGCGGAGGCGCGACGCGCGCGACAGAACGCCCGCCGCGTCGACCGCGTAGTGCAGCTTCGCTTTGGTGAACTTGTTGCCGTCGACGTCGGGCTGGGACAGCGTAACGTCGACGTCGGCGCCGCCGCCGCTCCGGAGCGTCGCGGCGCCGGCCTCGACGCCCGACGCCTGGCCCACGGCGCGGCTAAAGGCCTGGCCCAAAGCTTGCGTGCTCGCCATCCTCGACGAACCCAGCGCGTTGCAGCTCCGCAGCGACGACGCGAGGACGAAGGTCGACGAGAGGATGCGGCGCATGCACAGGGCAAGTTGGCAGCGCAGCGAGCACCGCAGCGACAGCACGCGAGACGGCTGCAGCAGAGCGTCACCGCTGTGGCAACGAGCCAACGATTCCCTTTGCGAGAGTCCGTCGCCGACCGTGCTCGATCGATTATGGCGCGCTGTAGCTGTGTTTTGACCGGAACGGGCGTCAGTGGCGTGCTAACTCTCAGTCAGCCGTCGGAGGACCAGCCGACCGCGCGCTGCCGGCGCCGCAAGCGCCATCGCTTTCGAGAGCAGAGCACCGCTTCGGCGAGAGAGGCTGTTTTTGCCATGGGCGGCGGCGGCGCGCGGCGCGGAGCGCGCGCGCCGCCGCTGGCCGCGCCGCGGACCGCCGCATCGCACGACGCTTAACGTCGCGCCGCGCCGTCGACGACCGCTCCTCGCCCGCAGGTCATCGAGGGCAGCATCACCGGCCTCGCCCCGGGCCAGCACGGCATCCACGTGCACATCTTCGGCGACTTCAGCCAGGGCCTCACGTCCGCCGGCGGCATCTTCAACCCCTTCGGCAAGAACCACGGCGCGCCGGACGCCGACGAGCGCATGACGGGCGACCTCGGCAACCTCGAGGTCAAGGAGGACGGGTCCTGCGCGGTCTACATCGAGGACCACCTCGTCAAGCTCATCGGCCCCCACTCCATCATCGGCCGCTCCATCGTCGTCTTCGGCGGCGAGGACGACCTCGGCCGCGGCGGCCACGAGCTGAGCCTGACCACGGGCAACCCGGGGCCCCGCGTCGCCGGCGGCGTCGTCGGCATCGCGCCGTCCTAGGGCGGCGCGCCGTCCGCGGGCGCGTCGAGGCGCCCGCGATGTCACCCACGCCCCCTTCCGCACCGCATCCTCCCAACCCGGCGCGTCTAACTCCGGCTAGCGCGTCGCTGGATCTCGTGGCTTTTTGGCCGCGCGCGCCGCGGTGTTTCCCGTGCTTGTGGAGGGAGACGCGCCATTGCCCCACGCACACGAAGCGCAACTGGCCGGGCTGCCTCGTGGGGTCCTGGGAGCCTGTGGGACGCGTCAGTAGCCGTCAGTGACCGCATGTTGCCTGTGCAAGTGAAGGAGAGAAACTCACCACACACGATGGTACGTCGACGCGCTCGCCGCGCGCCGTCAGCGGTCGCGCTCCCGCCGCGCGCGCCGCGCGCCGCGCTCCTCCTGCTCGCCTGCGCGAGTGCGTTCCACGCGCCGCGGCGCGCGCCGCGGCGCGCCGTCGCGTTGCGGAGCGAGAAGAGCGAGCGCCGGTGGCCCTTCGCGTTCCCCAACGCGAGCGACGCCGCGGAGGGCGCGCGCGACGCCCTGGCCTCGACGCGCAACGCCTTCGACGAGGTCCGCGCGCGCGGCGACCGCGGCGCCGACGGTATCGCGGACCTCGCGGAGGCCGTCGTCGCCGCGGCGGGCCAGCCCGGCGACCTGAGCGCGTTGATCGGCGACCTGCCCGGCGTCCGCGAGCTGCGGCGCCAGCTGCCCGACCTGGCGAGGCCGCCGCCGGACGCGTCGGCCAACGACACCGCCGCGGACGCGTCCGAGGTCGTCGCGTATCTGTCGCGGCTCGCGGAGCAGGCGCTGTCGGGCGCGGCGGAGACGAACCCGCTCGAGTTCGCGCGCGACATGTTCAGCGTCGCCGCGGGCGCCGCCGCGGGCTTCGCGAGCGAGGAGTCCGAGGCGCGGGCGAACCAGACGGAGATCCGGGCGCTCGCGAACGCGCTCCTGAGGGACGGCTACTTCGACGAGTCGACGGGCGTCTCGTCGCTGTTCCCCGCGTCCGCGGGCGTCGCGCGCGTCGACACGACGACGGCCTGGTTCGACCGGGCGACCTTCGCGTCGGAGCTCGCCTCCGCGGCCTACGCGAACGACGGCGCGCGGGCGGCGTTCCGGGCGTTGGGCGTTTCGAAAGTGGCCTCCGGAGTCACCTGCGACGTCGCCTGGCACGTCTACGACGCGGCGCGCGACGGCCGCGTCGAACGGCACGTCGTCATCCGCGGCTTCGACGCGTCGGACGAGTCGGGCGACAACTTCGAGCTCGTGCGGCGCATCGTCTGCGCGCGGGAGCGGAGGATCCCGGCGTCGCCCGACGCGCTCCCGCGGGACTGGGCGGCGTACGAGGCCGCCGAGGACGTCGCGGGCCCCGCGCTCGACGGCGTCGTCGCCCACGCGGGGTTCCTGTTCATGGCGGAGCGGCTCCTGGACGACCTCGCGCCGTTGTTGGACGTCGCGGAGGGCCACCGGTTGGTCCTCGCGGGCCACTCCATCGGCGGCGCGTTGGCGACGCTCCTGACCGTGCTGCTGGCGAAGCGCGACGACGACCGCTTCCTCTTCGACGGCGGGAATCTCGAGGCGTTCACCTTCGCGGCGCTGCCGTGCCTGCGCGTCGTCGACGGCGAGAAGGTTTGGTCGTCCTGCGGCGCACGGTGTCGTCGCCGGAGACGTCCTTCAAGCTCTTCCGCGGCGAACCGGCCGAGGCGAAGACGACGCTGGGCGCGCTGGGCCTGCGCGACGCGCTCGTGTCCGCGTTCGTGCAGCCGTGGGATCCGCTGGTGCGCTGGTACAGCGACGGCGACCCCTGCTACCCGCTCATCGCCGACATGGGCGACGACGGCGTGACGATCCTGCCGGGCGGGCCCGCGCGCGTGCTCCGGCCGCTCGCGCGCGCCGTCTTCCGCCAGGCCGACGAGTGGCCGCGGTTCCGGTCCGTCTACGTCGCCGAGGCGAACGCGTCCTTCGCGCCCACGGGCGACCAGTACCTCATCATGCCCGACGAGACGCGCTACCTCGCGGACCGCATCTTCTCGCTCATCGTCGACGTGCCGGAGCCCGCAGCGCTCCTCCGCGTCGCGCCGGGCAACTTGGCCGCCGCGCTCGAGCAGGCGTTCCCGCTGGAGGAGTTCTCCATCTCCCTCGTGCCCGCGGCCCTGCGGTCCTTCGTGCACCACTTCCACCCGGCCTACTCCGGGCCCCTGCGCGCGCTGCGGGACCGCGGCGCGGAGCCGCGGGACGCCGCGCCGACGGCCGCGGCCGCGCTGCACCCCGCGGGCTCGACCTAACTTCCCTTTTGTGTTTAGCAGGTGTCGATGGCGTCCTTCTGGGCGAGGTAGAGCGCCGCGGACGCGGCGAGGTAGCCCAGGCCGACGAACGCGACGCGGTCGACGTAGCGCCGCCCGAGAAGGCACGTCGCCGTGTTCATGAGCGCCGTCAGGGGGAAGGACAGGGCGACGAGGTTGAACGCGAGGTCGAGGTCGTCGCCGGGCCGCCACGTCCGCGCCAGCGCGCCGTAGCCGACGACGGACACCGCCGCCTGGGAGCTCAGCACGCACGCGAGGCGCGTCTCCGGCGACGCCGCCGTCAAAAACGCGCGGAGGAACCCCGCGGCGCCGAGCGCGACGAAGCCGTGGCGCGCGAGGAGCAGCGCCAGGGACAGCGCCGGCGCCGCGCCGGTGACTTCGCACTTGAGGCCGATGAGGAGGAAGAGCACGGGCGTGTTGGCGGCGGCGAGCGACGCGACGGCTTTCCCGAAGAAGCCCAGCGAACTCGTCGGCGTCCCGAGGACGGCCAACAGGAGGCCGCCGAGGATGCCCGCGTTGAAGGGGTCCGCGAGTATCTTGCGCACGCTGGGCTTCCCGACCGCCGCCGCGGCCGCGCCCTTGTCGCCCCGGAGCTCGGCGACCTTCGGGAGGCCGAGCAGCACGTAGGCCTTGTTGGGCATGTCGGCGAGCGCCGCCAGGCCGACGTGCGCCGGCGACGCGAACTCGCGCACGAACGCGAAGACCGACGACGCCGGCGCGCAGGTCCCGAGCTGCAGCGCGGCTGCGCGGCGCATCGCGCGCCGCCGCGCGTCGCCGGCGTCCGCGCGGACGACGAGCCGCGCGGCGGCGGCGCCGGCGGCGATCTGCACCGCGACGAGCGCCGCGCCCGCGGCGACGACGGCGCCCAGGTCGCGGCCGAACGATAGAGCGCTCAGCGAGCTGAGGATGACGCAGGGCACGAGCGCTTTGAGGAGGAGCCCGGTGATGGCCGCCGGGTCGAGCGTGCCGCGCAGCGACGCGCCGAGCGACGCGATGGTGCCCAGCTCCAAGATCTTCTGCACGCCCGTGGAGCCCAGCGTCGACGCCACGCCGGCGACGCTGAGGCCGCCGCGCAGGCGCAGCGTCGCGAGCCTGCGGTCCGGTCGCCGGAGCGCGACGCGTCGCCGGTGCTGCGTCGCCGGCGACCACGCCGCCGTCGCCGACGCGGCGCACAGCGCGAGGAGGAGAGTCATGCGCGCCATGAGACGCCGTCAAGCTGCAAAAGCGACGAGGCTAGCACAAGACCATAAGAGCTCAAACCAGAGCACTACAACTTCAAGCACAGGCTCAACAAGGGAGGGCATCAGTCAGCGCGCGTCCCCAAAATGGTCAACATGCAGTACAAAAGTGAATTTTCGGAACAGGGGGAGGGGCGGGGAGCAGGAGGGGCGGGCGCGCGGGCTCAGGCGAGGGCCCGCGACCGCGGCGTCCGCGGCGACGACACGCCGAGGCGCGCGAACCACGCGGCCGTCGCGGACGCCGTCGCGTTCGCCTTCACGGCCGGCGCGCGGAGCCGCGACCGGCTCGGCGGCGTCGGCGGCGGCGGCGCCTGCGCGTCGATGAGCTTGGCCAGGGCCGCCGTCGCGCCCGCGCCGGACGACGCTCCCGCGTCGCGCGCGCGGTCGAGCCACTTCCGCGCGGCGTCGCCGTCGGCCGCGACGCCGCGGCCCTGGGCGTAGATGGCCGCGAGGTTCACCTGCGGGCGGGGGCGCGGGTGAGGACGGGGGATGGCGCCGGCGCGCGCGGACCGCGGCGCGCGGACCGTCGCGCGAGTCGGGACGCCGCGGGCCACCATGGCCGTTCCGTCGCCCAGGTCCGCGGCCTTGGTGCACCAGGCGAGCGCCGCGACGTCGTCCTTGGCCATGCCGCGGCCGCGCGCGTAGAGGCACGCGAGGTCGAACATGGCGCGCGCGACGCCGCCGCGCGCGGCCTGGCGGTAGTGGAAGGCGGCGAGCGTGTCGTCCTGGGCGACGCCGGAGCCCGCGGCGTGCATGATGCCGAGGTTGCAGGCCGCCTTCGCGTGGCCCTGCGCGGCGGCCGCGGAGAACCATTCGGCCGCGCGCGCGGGGTCCTTGTCGACGCCGCGGCCCTCGGCGAAGCGGATGCCCAGCGAGAACTGGGCCTTGGCGGCGCCGCGGTGCGCCGCCGCGGCGAACCAGGCCGCCGCGAGGGCCTCGTCCTTGGCGACGCCGCGGCCCTCGTCGACGGCGATCGCGAGCGCGAACATGGCGCGGACGTGGCCCGCCTCCGCCGCGAGGCCGTAGAAGTGAGCCGCGCGCGCCTCGTCGACGACGCAGCCCCGGCCGAGCTCGTAGGCGAGGCCCAGCTTGTACTGCACGCGGACGACGTGGCGGCCCTCGGTCCGCGTCTCCAGCAATTTCTCGAGGCGGACGACGTTCTCCTCGTGGGACGCGCGGAGGGGCTCGCGGCAGGCCGGGCACTTGTCCCAGCCCAAGGCCCGGTACTTGGCGTCGCCCGCCGCGAGCGCCGCGCGGCGGCTCAGCTCCGGCTTGCAGTCGCAGCAGTAGAACGTGCCGCACGCGCTACACATGCCGCAGTCGAGGCCCCGGGCCCGGTCCTCGTGGTCGTCGGCGTTGCTCAGGCAGATGAGGCAGAGGTGCTCCTCGCCGTCGTCGGCCGCGGCGCAATTGGGCTTGATGCGCGCGGGGCGCCGCGACGACGACGACGCCGCCTCGGCCATGGCGCCGGCGTCCGCCTCGAACCGGCGCTGCGACGCGCGCGTCCGGCGCGCGCGGAGGAGGCGGGCGCGGCGCGTCGCGTCGCGCCCGATGGGACCCGGGCGGTCGTGTCCACTTCGCAGCGGAGGTGGACAGGTCGCCTTCGCAGTCGCCTTTGCTTGATTCTTGCCGCCACTCGTCATTGGGGCTGCTGATTGGCTGCGCAAACTTTCGAACACGTTGAATCGATGCTGAAGCGAGCGCAGCATGGGAATCGAATTTGATTAGCTTTTGCTGCGTGCACGGTTCTGTTCTCGCAGCGCATCAATAGCTCGTGCGTCGCGTAAGCCACGATGGAGGTGCGCGACGGGCCGCCGGATCCGAAGCCCATCGATGACGCCGTAGCCACGATGGAGGCGCGCGGCGGGACGCGCGGTCTCAAGCGGAAGATTGAGTGCGCGCCGGCGCTGCGCCGCATCGCCTACGCCGCGCTGTGCCCGGAACCGCGGCGCACTCTCGTGCTCGGATTTAGTCGCGACGGCGAGTGGGTGCTCGGCGCGGAGCGGTCGACGCCTTGGCTGCTCGCGTGGCGCGCGAATCTGACAGGCGCCGCGGCGCCGCTCCGCGTCGACGACGCGACGCGCGTCCTGGCGCTGCCCGAGGTCGCCAATGACGAGGGACGCTCTAATCTTCGACGACTCGTGTACGCGGAGACTCAGTCCGCCGCGGTCTGTTTCGCTTCCACATTTTTCGACCTCGACGAGGGTTCCGAGTGGCACGTTTCCGTGGCGTGGCGGCCCTCTAGCGGGTCGCGGGGCGTGTCCGCGACGACGACCTTCTCGACGTGCCGCGGCGCCGAGCCGCCCGGCGCCGCGTGCGTGCGAGACGTCGCCGGCACCGTGCTCCTCGCCCTCAACTGCGGCGACGCGCTCCGGTTCCTGCGCTTCGGCCCCGCAGGCTCGCGGATGCCGCATCTGAAGCTCAGCACGAAGCCGCCGCTCGTGCGGCTCGAAGCGGACCCGCGGTGGTGGGGCGCGCGGCCGTGGCTGAACGTCGTCAACCCGAATCTGGACGCTGACCCGTGGCTCATGAAGCAGGAGTCGCTGGACGTCGAGGCGTTTCTCGCCGCCGCGACGCCGCGGCTTCGGAAACCGCCGAGGTCGTTCCAAGGCTTCGCGCTGGTCGACTACGCCGTGACGATTCCGCGGCGGCGGCACGCGCGCCCCGACGTGGTCACGATAGCGATCGCCTGGCGATCGCGACCGGTCGCGGCGGAGACGCGGCTCGCGGTCCCGTCGTCGGACGACGTCGTCACGGCCGCTCTGCTCGACGTCGACACCCTAGCAGGCCGCGTTGACGTCGTCCGGCTCGTCGACGTCGCCAACGTCGACGCGCGCCTCTCCCAGGCCGCCCGGGCGCTCGACGACGCGGACGCGGGCGCGCCCCTCGGCGACGCCGCGGCCGCGCGCGCCGCGGGCGGATTCAAGCGATACGTGCGCGAACCCGTCGTCAAGCTCCACGCGCTGCGCTACCTCACGCTCGCAGGCCGCGCGACGCCGCCGAAGCGCCTGGCGGGCCTCTTCGGGAGCAGCGCGCTGCCCGACGTCATCTTCGACAAGATCCTCGATTTCTGGAAAGAGCCCGAACCGCCCTGGGTCCTCGAGGCCAGCGGCTGGCCGGTCGCGATGTTCGAGAACCCCGCGTACCCCGTCGTCATCGACGGCAGGCTGCCGGAGTACGGCACCTAAGCTACTTATCCGTGCGGTCCTCGAAGCACGGCGGGACGACGTTGGTCTTGCCCGTGGCGTAGCCCGAGGCGACGCCCTCGCAGAGGTACTGGGCCTCCCTCCAGTGGCCGTCGTCGTTGAGGTTCGTGGCGACGACGTCGTGGAAGGTGACGTTCTCCATGGGCGACGACGCGTTGCCCAGGATGACGCCGAGCGAGTTCTTGGGAGAATCGATGGACACGTTCTTGAGCAAAATGTTGCGGTACGTGGCGACGGGCGCGGCGCAGGTCGCCCAGGGGTCCGTCGGCAAGCAGAGCGAGCAGGGGTGCGCCGCGCAGGGGTTGCCGGAGTCGGACTGGTGCGCGGGGCCGATCCAGATGGGCCACTGCTCCGGCGACTGGAGCTTCACGTTCTCGAAGGTCACGTCCTCGACGGCGCCGCCGTCGCTCCGGAACTTGAGGTATATGCCCTTAAACGGGTTCGGCGAGTAGATGTCGCGGAAGGTGATGTTCTTCACCGTCGTCCCGCCGATGCTCCCGATGGTGAGCCCGAACCCGGACGCCTCGATGCGCTCGAAGACCATGTCCCGGGAGCCGTCCTTGACGCAGACGGCGTCGTCCTGGGTCCAGACGCTGCTGTCGTGGATCCAGACGTTCCTTCCCGTGACGTCGTAGCCGTCGGTGTTGAACGCCGTGAGCTCGTAGAGGTCGTGCGTCGTCGCGGACGCGCGGCGCCGCGCGTCGACGTGGCAGTTGCGCACCTCCAGGTTCTCCACGCCGTCGAAAAAAAAGGTCCAGTAGGGCCTACGAAGCATGTCGGTAACAATTTCTCTTCGTTTTCCCGGTCAAAATCTCTCGAAAATCGTCACCGCCACAGGACGCTGAGTCGGGCGAGTTGACGAAGCGCAGGTTCTCGACGAGCACGTCCTTCGGGCCGCCGTCGGCCTATTACATGCGTCGGTAACGATTTTTCATCGTTTTCCCGGTCAAAATCTCTCGAAAGTCGTCACGGATGCAGGACGCTGCCGTCGGCGTGGAAGAGCCGCGGCCGGTTCTCGCCGACCTCGAGGTAGCCGACGCCGGGGAAGCCCCACCACGCCGCGCCCTGGCCGTCCAAGGTGCCCAGCCCGCTCGACGTGAAGGTGACGTTGTCGAGCGCGTCCCAGCGCGTGCACGCCATTACGCCCGCGTCGGTCCCGTCGCCCGTCCGCGGCCAGTCGTCCGCGCGCGTCGAAAACTTGAGCGTGCCGTCGATCCGGATCACGACGTCCTTGAGCTTGCGCCCGACGATGCCGCCCATGACGTGGTAGGTCGCGTTCGGAATCACGAGCGTGTCGCCGGGCCGCAGCGACGCGAGGGACGCGTTGAGCAGGGCGCCGTTGGCCCGCTCCGTCGCGAGGCTCGAGTGGTCCGGCGTCGCGCCCGCTTTGCCGAAGTCGACGACCTTGGCGAAGCAGCGCGGCAGCGCCGCGGCGAGGACGACGAGGCGGAGCGCGACCATTGGAAGGCAGCCCGCTCGAAGAGCGGCTTCCGTTAGCGATGTTGTTGAATGTGCAAGGTGTCGCAAACGAACCTTCCTAAAGTCTTGCGGCATTGTCCATCGGCTCCGCGGCGTGGACGTCCTCGAGGCAGCCTCGCCACGCGGTCACGACCCAAAAAAACGCGCCGGGCGGGCGGTACTAGCTGCCTCGGTCCATGGGCAACGGCGATGCCCGCGACGACGGCGTCGCCCCTGAGGAGCCGGCGATCTCGAAGCCGGCGCAGGCCAAGGCCAAGCACCAGTTCAAGCTGAGCGCGGCGCTCGGAGGCCTCCTGGAGCGCGGCCTCGCCTGCCTCGCCGCGGTGACGAAGAACTGTCGTAGCGCCACGCTGAATTGCTGCTGCGCTTGCTTGGAACACTTATCCAAAGGGAATTGCTGTCCCTGCTGGGCTTGCGACGACGGAATATGTGGTGGTAAATGTTATTGGGTGTGTGGACGTGGACTAACTGAAAAAGAGAAACGGTGTCAAAATGCTACCCTGGCGCGCGATCGCGCAATACAAAGAAAGGACGCGGACCGGCAAGACTTTCAACGGGGACGGGGCAAATACGCCAAGGCGACGGAGCTGAAATCCAAGGGCGGAGGCGGTGGTGGGAGCTCCCCTGGTGGTCGCGGGACGAGTTCTGGAGACCGCGGCGCGGTCGACAGCCGCGACGTCGATTGGACGCCGGACCATGGCTTTGGTTCCAGCTATTCTGGTGGCGATGACGCGGATTGAGGAAGCGATTGCTCCGGAGGCTCCGGAGGCAGCGGTGGCTCCGGGGGCTCTTGAGGCGACGGGCTGGCCGGGCCCGACCGGGACGCGCGCGCGCCCGCGAAACGACGGCGCGCGCGAGGAACGGCCCACCACGCCTTAATAGCCCGCGTCGATGTTGAGGCCGCCGATGGGCCCCGTGGCGAGGCGGGCGAAGTCGCCGGACTTGGCGACGGCGTTGATCGCGTCGGCGACGGCCGCGTAGCGCCGCCGCTCCGTCTCCGGCAGCCCGACGGCGCCGCCGCGGTGCGGCGAGAGCACCGTCGCCGCGGCGGGCAGCGCCGCGAGGTCGCAGGCCGGGCTCCAGGGCGCCGTCGCCGCGGCGTCGTCCCACGTCGCCGGGTAGTGGTACCAGACGTCGGACGCGTACGCGGCGACGGAGCCGGACGCGAGCGCGGCGTAGAGCGCGGCCTCGTCGACGACGGGCCCGCGCGCGGCGTTGACGACGACGGCGTCCGACGGCAGCGCCGCGAGCGCCGCGGCGTCGACGAGGCCCGTCGTCTCCGGCGACAGCGGCACGCACAGCACGAGCAGCCGGCAGCCGGCGAGCAGCTCGACGAACCGCGCCGCCGGCTCGAGCGTCACCCGCGCCGACGCGGCGCCGCAGGCGAGCGTCGTCTCCCTGGACGCCGAGCAGGACCGCGACGTCGCGGAGACGCGCGCGCCCAGCGCCGCGAGCGCGACGGCCACGCGCGAGCCGACGGCGCCGAGCCCCGCGACGAGGGCCTTCTTCCCGTCCAGCGTCAGCTGGGGCAGGGGGCTCTCGCCCCCGTAGCCCGGCGGCGGCGCGGGCAGGCCCCGCGCGCGCCAGTCGCCCCGGCGCAGCCGCTCGTCCGCGACGCAGAGGCGCTTCGCCGCGGCGAGCGCGAGCGCCACCGCCAACTCCGCGGTCATGGGCGCGTTGTGGTGCGAGTTGCAGCACACGAGCGGCGTCAGGTCGTTCACGTTGCGCCGCCGCCGCTCGCGGCGCAGCGCCTTGGCCACGACGTCGGGCACGCCCGCGTAGGGCTGCAGGAACGCCTGGGCAGCACAAGAGTGATTCAACATCGCTTCAACGTGAGTGTTCCGCGCGCGCGCGTTCCGGAAAAACATCCACGCTTGGAGACCGTTCCGAGAGATGATCGCTCGTCCAAAAATCAGCCGAAACGAGTGGAAAACGGCCGAGATATGAGCCTTTGAAGTTGGGAATTTCGCTCTCTTGTGCTGCCCGGAGGAACGCCTCGAGCCGCGCGAGCCGCGCGAGGCCGCCCGGGTCCGCGTCGTACGGCGGCGCGTCGCCGCTCACGAGGATCTCCGTCGCCGCGTCGACGTCCGCGAGGCGGCCCGTCGCCACGACGACGAGCTCCACGCGCGGGTCGAGTAAGGCGCGGAGCGCGTCGCCGTCGGCCAACCCCCGCGTCGCGAACCACGTCACCTTCAGCGTCTCGTGGCGCGCCTTCTGCAGCTGGTGGATGAAGACGCGCACCGCCGCGCAGGCGTTGCGCCGGAACTTGCGCTTGAGGTGGCCGATGAAGAGCAGCGCGCCGCAGGCCACCGTCGCCGTCAGCGCGACGCGCCGGTACATGACGGCGGCGTAGAGCGCGTCGAGCGCGTCCAGCTTGGCTGTTCTGCGATTTCTGCTCGCACTGTTGACCGGCCGCTCGTCGAGGTGCGAGGATTTCTGCTCGCACTGTTGGCGCCGTCGATGGCCTGCCGCAGGAGATTGCCACAGGTTTTTGCGAAGCCCGCGCCGCAGGCGCCAGGCCAGATCTTCTGGCCGAAGGGCGTAGCTTTTGTCCGAAGGTTGCGAGACAGCCATACGATGCGCTCCGCTCGATTTGTGTCCCACATCAGTGCGCAAAATCTAGAGCCTCTCACGCGGCGAGCCCGGGCTTGCCGGAGAGCCCCTACGGAGAGGATCAGGCGGAAAATACGCTTTTCCCGGAACGACGTCGTAACGGCGAACGCGGCGGGCGGTTTCGCGTCGAAAGCGCTCATTCGGGCCCGAGGGGAGGTCTGCGGGCCCCGCGGAGCGATCGCAGCGTATGTACACGCTCGGGGGGGTCGGGGAAGGGGTGCGCGCCGGCGGAGACGTCGTGCGCGCCCACCTACCCCGCTTGCGGCCGACCGAATGTCGGGGGGAACGCGTCCGGCGGCCGCCGCGCGCGTCCCATGGCTCGGTGACGCGCTCGCAGCGCTTGCAAACGCTCGGGGGGCTCGGGGAAGGAGTGCACGCCGGCTGAGACGTCGCGCGCGCCCACCTCCCCCGCGCGCGGCCGACCGACATTTGGGGGGGAACCCGTCCGGCCGCCGCCGCGCGCATCCCAGCCCCCCGCGCAGCGCTCGCAGCGCGCCCAAACGCTCAACGGGGTCGGGGAAGGGGTGCGCGCCGGCGGCGACGTCGTGCGCGTGCAGCTTCCCCGCGCGCGGCCGACCGACATTCGGGCGGGGGGAACGCGTCGGCCGCCGCCGCACGCGTTCCAGGCCCCCGTGCAGCGCTCGCAGCGCTCCCACGCGCTCGGGAGGGTCGGGGAATGAGTGCTCGCCGGCGGCCACGTCTTGCTCGACATCTCTCTCGCGCTCGCGGCCGAGCGTCTGTCGGGGCGAACGAAGCGCTCCCGATCGCCGCCGCCGCC